GGATACTTGTGTTGTGAATATGATTTCCACAATTCACAATTCGAGCATGGTTGATATTCAAAGGAGACATGGACAGGTAAAGAAGCCTGTTTGTATTTCCGAGTATAAAATGTTCATGAAGGGAGTTGATAGAGCCGATCAGTACTTGGCCTATTATTCTCTTCCTCGGAAAACAGCAAAGTGGACAAAGGAAGTTGCCTTGTGGCTTATAAACTGTGCTAATTTCAATTCATTTTTGGTTTTCAAAAATCTAAACCCTCATTCAAAATTGAAATACAAGGCATTTCTGCTGAATGTGGCAAAAGCCTGGTCTACAGACCACACGGTGGCGGCAGAACCGGCGGCAGACACAGTCTTAGTATGACCGGGGCCAGCTACTCCCACACCACGCAGGCCTCATTCTGAACCCTTTGGGCGACTCTCGGGTGATATGCGGAAACATACCCTCGCGAAAATTGTGAAGAGTGAACATTTCAAGGGGACGCAGCCTTCTAGGCAACGCCGTGTTTGCGCAATTCACAAGAAAAGGAGTGGGACTGCCTGCATTTGCAAGTTTTGTGTAATGCCACTTCACAGAGGGGAATGTTTCGAGAAATATCACATCATCAAGCGCTTCTAGAAGCATTGGTNAAGTGAACAGTGCACAAGTTAGGGTAGTAGGTATAAAAATGCCGGTCCGCAAAGTGTTAAGATGGGTAGTAGGATTACATACCAGACACTGCCACCTAAGAGGAAACCTTTTCAAACTGGGACTGACAGACGACCCAACTTGTGAAAGGTGCCTACAAGAAGATGAATCAGCCACACATATCTTATGTGATTGTGAGGCTATAGCTTACCTAAGATATCGCCACCTGGGTCAATTCTTCATGGAACCTAGTGACTTCTATGATGCCCCTATAAATAAAGTCCTACATTTCATTTGAAGTGTAGGATTTATAAAGGGTTAATCCATAAGGGAAGCACAATAGATCATTAAACATTGCAGTGCGAGGGCCGGTTTCCATGGCTCACCCCTCATACTCATACTCATACATACTAATCTCTCTGTACGGAAATGTCTGTTCATGACCCAGCGATGATTTGTTTCCAAGAAACCATCTCCACCGAAACTTCTGATAACTGAGTCATTGCTCAGCAGCAGCTAGTTCCTAGACTGTGAATGACGACTAACGTGTCAGAATTACACTGTGGCTAGGATGTGTGCGAGGCAACGGGCTCTGGAGCTGCTGTGGTCTGAACTGATCTGTCAGCGGTTGATTCAATGTAGATGGCTCCTGCATAACCGCCGGGGCTGATGTTCAGATGTTGAAGCGAGCGGGGAAACGTACATGGATTTGGTAGCATGTAGTAATTGCGATGGGCGGTGGTGGCACGGCAGGTGGTACTGCGGCCAGGGTTGGATTAATAAATTAGTTGAAGGTGGTGGTGGTCCAGCGGTCAGTCTCATTCACCATTTAGGCTGGCTTGACCCTGCCAGCTGGCACCATGATGAGAATGCAGCGCACGAGGAAATGCAGTGTCTTCTATCTGTGTGACAGGACATGGTAGGAGATGCTGTAGGGGGACTCTAACACCAGGAGCGTTGTGTCATGACAGAGGAAGAAGTGCGGGCACGTCTCAAAGTCGCTGAGCAAGAATGTAGCACAGGAGTTGTGGCATGCTGCTGGAACTGGTCTGAGGCGGGTCATGTGTTGGCAGAACTCGATGATGAGGTGTGATGGATTCACTTGGTAGCCTGTCGGAGCCAGCAGCTCACCCGAGAGTCTTAGGGCTCGCAGTATAGTTGTTCTGCTACTGATCTTCAACATCCCCTTTCAGTGCCATGCCAAATCCGAAAAGAATCAGGGGAAAAGCCTCTGTCCACTTTTGGTCTGCATGGCACATGATGGCTGCCTTGAGCATCCGGTGGAAGTGTTGTGCGATTCCGTTACCGGGGAGTGTAATCTTATAATCAGACTCAGCTTCAATTCAGGTAAATTATGACTGTATGGTTTAATGCTCTGTAGAATAATGGCTTGTGTTATAAATCATTACAGTGATAAAATCTGTCTACTGAAGTTCTTGTCTCAATTATCAAAACTGTTCCACATTCTCCTCTTGATTTTCTCTTGAACTGAAAGTCATTTTTACACATGCCTAGATTCATATGCTGCATCACTGGACTTGCTCTGAGATCAAAGGTGAAGCGAACAAATCAAAAAGGAATATCATTTACTAATACAGACAGAACAGCAGAACGTGGTGAAGTGTTGTAAGGGAATAAAATCCCAAAGAGAATTGTGAGTTATGGTGTGTAAGAGAGGAAAGTTTTGGAACCTACAAAAACTTGAAGAACATTTCTTGTCACTGACCCTTTGCACTTATCACAAAGGGTATTGAAGATGGCTGACATGCTCAAATGCATCTCCTAGTGAACATATATATATAGAAATTCTTGTGATAAATGTAGATGGCGAATTACACATAATAATCTTAATGATAATACCTACCACAGTCATGAATTCAATTATGATAAATAAAAATGTGGTTTGATCAAAATTTTTAATGGAACTGAACAAGTCAATTGACCTAATCCATGCAGTTGCTGTCAAGTTTTTCTCCTTCAAGACAACTGTACCTGAAAGCCTGTTCCACTTTGGAGTGAGGAAACACAGTCCTTGGTAGGGGCTGAACAACCCCTGCAGAGATTCCTTGAGCAACTACATCATGCAAAGTCTTCTTCATTTCATAGGATCCAACGAAGACTGCATCTAACATCACACCATGGAAGCTCACACCCTTCAGGAACACCTCCATGCCTGTGTGATGGGATTTGCTCACAAGTAAATGCCACAAATGCTACATAAAACTGCATTATAGGATAAAAGGCAATCAGAAGGATTGCTTCTCATGCTAGTATCCAGTGGTGATAAATCAGATTGACATGTGGGGACATCCCACATTATCACCCATTTTCTGCAATGCACACTCTTCACATCACTTTTCACCATCACGCGCGCTAACCAATCCAATTGCTCCAAACGTTTGCATTTATACTGCGCTCGCTGCTAGCCCCCATCTACATCATCAAGCGCACTAGCCAATCAGCGCCTTGAAAATTCTTCCTCCTCAATTTCAAGTTTCGCTCCACCCACCGAGCAGTGTATAAAAAGGAGCAGCCGCGACCCGGCAGCATCAGTCTGACTTCAGTCTACGATCAAGCCACACTCAAGCATCACCAGCCAGCAGGCTTCGTTGCCAGCGCTCAGTCTTCGGAGGCATCGGCAGGCTGCGCCAGGCACGACTGCCTTGGCCCTCCGGCTCTCACACCCGACGCACTGGGGCAACTCGCCTGGACTCGCCGGTGGTCGTGTACCTGTCTGACCCACTGGGCATCTGGCATAGCCACTGCCTCATCACTCCTACGACCGCGCTGTGCAACCACGCAACTTCAACTCACCTGCCGCACGGCGATGGGCATCTGGCGTAGCCACTGCCTCATCTACGACCGTGCTGCACGACCACGCAACTTCAACTCACCTGCCGCATGGCGATCAAGCAACCTCCAGCAACGGCCGCGCAGTGGCCAGTCAAATCACCGCAACTAACCTCTCTCCCTACCGGCGCGCGCCACGCCACCTCACCGATCAAACATCTCAGCAACCACGGTCCTTTTCAGGACCAACAAACTGTTCCGAAGAAGTGGGTTGTCATCGGAGTAATGACGAAAAACAAACTACATAAAACCCCACAGACACATTTTACCACTTCGCAGCAAGAAGTTGCAAAATTTGCCTGTGATATGCATATTTGGCCATCTCTCTGTCTGCATGTATGCAATAAGTTGAGAACTGTTAAGCAGATTTCTATTAAATTTGATACTTGGGAGTTTTCTAATAATCTGTTGATAAAATCCAGTTTTATTTAAAATCAAATGAAAATAAGACACTTTATGTGATGACCTGCTGTGTCTCTGTGTGTTTCTAGAGTATAAGGTGCTAATTATACACCAGACTGACAAAGTCTCAAACAAAATTATTGATAAAAATGAAACACATTTTATTTCCTATGCATTTATTTCTACAAATTTTAAGGTGATGAAAATTATTAAATAAAAGTGAATACAATTCAGTGTAAACTCATAACTTTGGAAGTGCTGCAATGATTCTGCCACTGCTCATTCTCCCTGCCTGGTCTATGCATCAGATAGCATAATGAACTGAAGCTCACAAACTGGAAATCTGATGCAATAACACAGTCAACATGCCAGATGTGTTATTATATGTGCACTTCAAAACTTGTTATAGTTATCTGACAATATATCTGTGAAATAGTAAGAACAATGTCAAATTGCATGTATAAAAAGAACAAGAGGGGCTACAATTTGATTCTGAAATGTGTTGACTTTGACAGAAAATATCAACCTGACTTTGTGCTTAATTAATTTAGCACTATACAATGAAACTGTGTGGGGGGGTGGAGGTACTGATACATGCATTCTTAACCTTCGCACTAGAGATGAATTTCACACCTGGCCACCTTCTCCTAAGGGAAAGAATCCTGTTTCCCAACATACACGAGGCTTGGTGGGACCCAGAGCTGGTCTTGATGCTGTGATGAGGAAAAATCTCTTGCCTCTGCTAGGAATCGAACACAGTTTCTTGGCCATTTTTCTGATTTATAATGAAAGGAACCACTGTTTGATGCACTGTTTCATAATATTAGAAGAGAAAAGCCATGAGAATAAATTTTTTACCATTTTTTTCTTACTTCTTTTAAAAATATTTTCATATGTTTGTGGGTTTGGACTGATAAGTGAATTTAGTGAATACTTATAACTTGTAACTTCAAATAATTATAATATCTCCACTAATCTACACACTCTAAACATCACTACTGTAAATACCAAGCCTTCACTAGCTGTTGCCTGATAGCACCGATTCTGACATTCAACTTACTGTTGGATATGTCAGGATTGGGCAAATTACTGTTGGTTCTCACCAGCACAGACATTCTTGGTTCCAATTTCAGTAAGCCTCATGATCATATTTTACTATCTCATGACTCTGGAATTTGTGTAACTCTCTCAGTAGGTGAGTCAGGTAAATTACTGCTGGCACTTGCCCACACAGTCATTCTTCGTTATGAATCCCACGGGATTAATAACCATATTTTACTGCTCATTGTTGTGACTGACTCAGTCGGATTGTTAAATTGCTGCTGGCCCTTGCCAGCACAATCAATTCTGGCCACAGATCTTCTAAAGATTCATGAACAATTTTTTGTTCTCTCTTAGACAGGTACAAGGTTAGAAGTGGGGAGGGGTCAGTCTTTCTGTATAGGCACTATATTTGTTGCACCACAGCTTCAGCTGGAGTATATCCATGCTGTCACAGCACCCGGTTCACTATGGCTCTACGCACCCTTTCCACACCATGCAAAGTAACAATTATACTAGATATATGGAGGAGTTCTGTCAGTACAGGCTTTTGCAGCAGGTTATGCTTTGACCACTCTGAAACTGCAGTTAGTCAGCTGAACAACTGTAGGCCGGACCATTGCCAAGTACGTATAAAGCCTCCCATTATTTCCCTACCTGGCTTCTCCTTGTCAAATACCATGTACATTTGGATTTTCATGGTTTAGAATTATTTCTTCCTGTGTCCTGTATATTCTAGTTATGTAGTCATATAAGTATGGAACTTTGAAAGTCACATGTAATTCATGAACTGGAGTGCATCTGTCAAGATTACCATCAGCGCAGTAGCTGAATCTCTGAGAGTTAAGCATCTGCCACATATTCCCAGGTTGGACAGGCATAAGTCATAACTGACCTAATCAGAGCTTTGTAAAACAAAAGTTTAATATATTTACTTTTACAAAATAATAAACTAAACATCTTGGCTAAACTGCTGCTGGCCCTCACCAGCAGTCATTCCTGGCTTTAAGTCTCCCTCTTGGTCCTTGCTATATAGCCTTGGCACAGACTGCACAGAAAATATCGGTTCTGTGGTTGCTTTGTTGTTGTGTGTTTACTCACTGCAGTTTAAACGTGTTTAGTGCAATATTTCATAGCAACAGCTGCCTCTATTTTGTTCCAGTATTCCAGCTTTCAGTCATTATGTCACAGTATAATATATATATATATATANACTGTTCCATTTGAATTAGATGTGACTGTTGGTCATTCGGCACAATGTCGCAGTTCGAACAGCATATGAATATCAAGTTCATGTGCAAATTAGGAAAATCTGCTTCAGAGATGCAATCGGATCTGCAGCAAGTTTATGGTGATACTGCACTAACGAAATCCACAGTTTACCACTGGTTTTCTCAGTTTAAGACTGGGCACGAGACGTTAGAGGATGACCAGCGCAGCGGGAGATGTTTGACATCCAGAACCGAAGAAATGATTGGAAAAGTGCGACAACTGATTCAATGTGATCGAAGAATGACCATCGCAGAGTTGGAGGAAGAAGTTGGCACTGTTACGGGCCATTTCTACGTGCAAGTTTTGCAGGGGTTGCGTGATGTGGTTCGGAGGAAGCAGCGTGACGAGTGGCAGGGACAGTGGTTTCTGCATCACGATAACGCACTGAGCCACACATAGCTTGTTGAGCAGCAATTTCTCGCTGAGAAAAACATTCCTGTCATCACTCAACAACCATACTCTCTGGATCTCGCTCCAAGTGACTTTTGGCTGTTCCCTACTCTGAAAATGGGCATCAAGGGGACACGTTTCACAACCATGGAGGACATCAAATCAAATGTGATGGCTGAGGTCCAGAAGATTCCAAAAGAAGCCTTCCACCGCTGCTTCCAACAATGGCAGGATTGATGGAGCAAGTGTGTGTGCGCGCAAGGGTCCTACTTTGCAGGTGATTAGGTAAGCATTGCCATATGTTCTACCATTAGAGTGCTATACCACCATCCTCACAGCATGTCCACTATCAAGAAGCTTTCCTGACAATTTTACTACAATTGTTGCAGGTTTAATTGTTTCTGCAATAACTAACTGATTCATTAATTCCTAATTCAACATAAATAAGAAAGGACCAAACATAGCTGGAGTTAGACTCACAGAGTCCATACATCTTGAAGAAAAATTTGTCGGTTGAGAAAATACAGATTTTAGAACTTGTTATTTAGGTGCTGAATTCTTGGATAAATTTTGAAAAGTTCAGAGGGGCCCTGAAATTCTCTTTTCTCACTGTTATCAGAGAAGTGCATAAATTTAATGATTGCCTCTGGTATTTCCAGAGGTAAAGTCTCTAAAAAGGGATAGTGTGAATAGCACCCAGTTTAGTTCTGTGAGTAGTATGATATAAGGTTAGGCTTTTGCACAATGTTCATCAACATAAAAAGAGCCAATATAAGTACAATTCGTCTACTGTAACATCTTCCTCCTGCATCCTTATCCTAGAGCAAAATATGAAACAAATTGACACTCTTTGAAATGTCCTGCTGAGGCTATCTGTTGGTTTCACCTCCAATGAGTTGTACGATAGCTCTATTTAAAATGTTGTCATATGCTCCCATGACATCACTTCAGCAGTGTCTAAATGGGGACCCTACATATCAGGAAAAGTTTCTCATGAAGCTGAAAAAGAGTCTATATATTTTCATACAAACTTACTGGATATTTCTCTCAATCCTACATTTATGATTTCTTGTTGTTCATTACTAATATTATCACTGTTGCTGTCACCAACTCTGTGGGTTCCTGGGGTCACCAGTTGTGTATAATCACTCCCACAAACGCTATCATTGTCCAAACTAAATTCATCAATATTTTTTGTGCAAAACTTCATTTAAAACTTTCATTTGTTCAAGCTCCATGAGTGCACAACTTGTTGAAGTGCTGTCCAGGATAATTATGAAATCACGTTACATCTAGAACACCCTGCTCATCTGCAGGAAATACTAGGATATTGAAAAATGAATCGAGAGGTCATTCTTTTCATAACAGGCCAGTGCAAACCTCACCACACAGGACCTCTTCATTCCTTATTTCTTGGTCAGAGAAATTAAGCTTACAGCCTAACATATGGTGTACACTGAAATATAGACAGAGGAGTTAAATTCCGGATGTAACATATATGTTGAATGATGCTGTGGCATTAAGAAAAGAAGAGTTTTCAATAGAAATAGACAGACAGTATGCATCTTACCAATAGTATTGTTGCCTATAAGGTCAAATTTGCCAATCTCCAGGAATCGTCCTCGAGGAGCAAGGCAGCGTATAGAAGCCTGCAGCTTTTCCTCAGATAAGGAGTTGAGAACAAGGTCCACTCCTCTGCCATTTGTCTCTGTCATGATGAGTTGCTCAAATGAGGTGTCTCGAGAGTTGCCAATGTTGCAGTCTGTCAACTGGGAGAGAACAGGGTATGCTGAAAGGTCTGATAATTTACACATTATCATCCATGGGCAAAGTATACAGTTTATGTATTAACTGTGGTGTTTTTGTCTTATTTGCTATTCTTCATTGTGTCATTAACTGGAACTGATTGTTGTTTCAACCTACTATGAAATAAAAACTGGATATAATTAGTACACCTGAAAACACATTCCTGGAAGGCTTATTACAGATAGATTTGAGGTTCCTACAGCATTGACTATGAACAGCACTACTCTCTGTGACATGATGCCATGTATACTAGTAGAGGTTCACCAACATTTTGGAAGATACACTGTCATGTGTTAGTGACAAGACATGGCACGGATCACACAGAGTACATCTCTTCCAACAGTCCTACTGTTGCGCGCATATCTGCTGCCATGGTATTTGTTTTCCAATCCATTCTCTAGCAGCAGACAACTTATACTGGTTACCTTATTCCAGCTTCAAGCCATTATGTCACATTATTCACTCATTAAGGAAGCTCCTCCTGGGTAATGTATAGGAGTGTTGCCATTTCTTCTTTCATTTGAGAAGAAGCTAACCCCTCCATAATGACCTGCCACTCGTTCCCAGGAGCCCAAATGAGGGTCTGCCTAAAGGCCTTGTTGAGCGTCTTCTTGACTCCCAGAAGTAGCTGCTGTGCTATGTATCGGTCTCTTATGCCATTGCTGAACGCTTTGCCTAGTCCCTAGGAACATGGCCCTGGCGTAGTGCAGGAAACCATGGTGGGTCAACTGTTTGATAGCGAAGAAAAGCTCTGATAGAGACTTGGAAACATATGGGGTTCTTGTCTTCAGCCGGCTGCAATATGAGGCTTCTAGGTGCCGGTCCCCAAATTAGTCCTCTAGGGCCTCGATGGTCTCCTTTTGTAAGTTGCTATTCTAGGGATTCTGTGGAGAATGTTAGAAGCCCAGCCTTAGGGCAGTAAGCTGATGCACGTATTTTATGTATGTTGTCCACTTATAATGTCCTGCCACAGCCTCAAATTGGCAGCAGAAGACAGCCCAGGATGTTGAGCCATCAAAATTCGGTGTACTCTACCAGCGTCAATTCCTGTACTCCCCATCAACTACGTGTGCCACGTGGGCCTCAAGTTCTTGCATGCTTATTCTTAACTTGAATCATGTGAGGTTACGTCCCAGGCTGAAATCATCTGTGATTTCTGTTATCTTTGCTCGAGTCCATGATATGTTTTCTCCACTGGGACCTTCATGGTTTGTACCTCAATCTGTATTTCCTGGATCCTGTGGTCAAGGGACATCATATCTGCTCATAAGCCTGACTGTGTTTGTTCAATCTTCTCATTAAGTCCCTCACAGAGGTCATGTCTGCTTCTCAATGTGCGACAGGACGTCTTCCACCTATCTGGTGAGGGTCTCTGCCAGTTGGACCAAACGGACTTCATTGCAGCCTCTACTATTTTGTTAATGTTGTCCATCTTCTGTTGGTTAGCCTCGATCTTTTCTTGATGGTTTCTGTCATCTCCGTCATGTGTTTTTGGCCGGCCTTCATCTCTCCTTAGTTGGGAATCATTTTTGGCAAGTATTCCTTGCCAAACTGTTCATACACTTTCTTGGTTAGCCTCTATCCTGGCTTTCAACTGTTCCTGACTAATCTGTATGATGGCCTCCATCTTTTCTTGATTGGTTTTCATATCTTCTTGAATGGCCAGCAGGCGTTCCAGCATTTGATTCAGTTTTGTAGCATGATGATGTAACTATTCACTGCAGTCTTCAATCCAAGAATTCAATCAATGTCATCCCACTTTGACAGCAGTTGCCACGTGCTAGTAACTAGGCATGGGATCTGGATTGCCATGATAAATCTAGATAAGAGTAAAATGGTAAGTTTCATGAGAGCTAGGGTGAAGGATCGACTGACATATTATTTTGGGGATCCATTAATTCCAGAGGTAAATTTAAGATGGGCAGATCATGTAAACTATGCGCTACGAAAAGCATGGAAGGCTCTTCATTTAATAATGTGTATACTGAAACAGGGCAATAATAACACGAAATGTATAGCTTATACATCATTAGTGAGACCAATACTTGAATATGGTTCGGTATGTTGGGACCCATACAGAGAATGGCAGGTTAGCGCTTTAAATCAGGTACAAAGAAGAGAGCTAATTTTGCTAATTCTACAGATGAATCTGGCTGGGAAACACTGGCACAGTGTAGACTGATAGCCCGTCTGTGTGCCCTTTACAAGGCGTACACCAGGAGACCGGCTTGGAAGATAGGGGACAACTGCTTCAACCATGCTACCTGAGTAGGGGCGATCATATTTGGAAAGTCAGAAGCAGGAAACAAAGAACAGATGTTGGCAAATATTCCCAAATATTCCTTTGTAAATAGGACCATAAAGGATTGGAACAGTTTACCTGCAGTCATACCAGTGTCTTTCCCTTGTAAAATAACACTTCTAGAAAGAGGGTTAGGAAAGGTGTTGCAAGTACAGAGGCCTTAGGCAGAGTTGAATGAAACAAGTGAAGTAATGTGAAGTGTCCTTGTTCGAGTGCAGTGAAACAAACACAAGCATGTGCCCTTTTATAACTTTATATGTTCAGATTTGTACTGTGTCTACCTTGTTTATTGTATGTACAAGGTGGTTCAAATATGACCAGGACTGATTTGTGTGTAAACAAGTCGCACTGCACAGCAGCTGTGCGACCTTGAGAGAGTGAAGTCAGATTCCCTTGCTTTGTGTTGTATTTTTTTCCTAGCCCCATCCCTCAGTCTGTTTACTTTTCATTCATTACTTATTATTGTTTCAGTGAACTATCTTTGCTATCTGGTCTTGACCTGTTATCCATCAACTACATGGCTGGACTGCACTCACACCAAGATCAGTGGGAACTACTGTAAACCTAGGAGCTCACTGGGTTTGTTACAGTCTCACTATTATTTGTACTTTGTTTGTTCACTGGTTCCATGATGACTTGAGTTCTGTTACAACCATGGCACTGGGTCATTTATATATATTGTGACGTGTCGCGCTACGCAGGACACCACTCCCCCCCCCCCAAGTGACGGTGATGTGCCGAGCGGAGCCGAAGCGAGCCGAGTCCCAGCATACTGGTCGCTATGCAACACGGGTAAACAGTGGTTGCGAGAGACAACTCCCAGCAGTGTTACCAGTAACACCGGTAAACACGGCGCCAGACAACAATGGCGCCTATTAAGTGGCTGTTTTCTGCGTTGTCCGGAACGAGGTTAGATACGGAGCAGTGAAGACTATTCATAGTCAGTTTTGAGTTCTCAAGTTCTCGAGTTACGAGTTACGAGTCAGCCAGGCAGTCAACCAGCATTTGCAGTGTAGTATTTGTGATACTGCCGATGGCAGTAAATGTCAGATTGTAATTTGTGTGATTGTAAGAGCGAATGTGAAATAAAATTCGCTCTATCAAATATGGCGTGAAATTATTTGTCACGTTATACATCCACACATGTGACAACTGGTGTTTCAGAAGTGGGATTGGACTTACACACGTGACCAACAAGATTTGAACTCAAGACACGTTACACTGGAGCATCTTACTGCTACAAAATGGAGATGCAGCAGATGATGGAACTTCTCCTGCAGGAAATCAGAACTAACCGAGTTGAAATGTGGCCGTTGCTGAGTTCAGTTGTTGTTGTCAGTTAAGGGCATCAGTCGCCGAAGAGAGTTCTCCAGTGAGCAGTGAACGAGTTCTCAAGGCAGCAGCCTACGAGTTGAGTTGAAATATAGCAGCAGTTGCGGTAAGAAGACCCGAACGCGTGGTTACAAGATTTTATGTGACAGTGTGCGATAACTAAGAAGGCAGCGAGTGGAAGACTTATTGTATGCTTTCAAGACTTTGTGTGTGCTGTAGTAGAGTTATATTTGGAGCGTGTAATTCAGAGAGACTTGTATAGCTCCCGCGTTATTAATACGTGTAGACTACTGACAATAGAGTGATTTGATTTGTGAATAGGGTTATAAATTGTGAAACCCCGCAACATTGTTATAATTAATTGTAGCCGTTACTTGCAGGTTGTTGAATAAACCAAATTAACAATCCGAACGGCGTCTTCAGTAACGATACACGTTACAATATTGTAAACTGTAACTGGGGATGATCCTAATAGTGGTGAAAAGAAGGGAAGGGGAATGGGAATGGGAAGAGGGTTACTACTCCATACCACCACATTTCTCTGCGTTTCGCATACTGCCTCCATCTTCAAGATCAAAAAGTAAGCCATGCAGTCAACCAAACCCCTCTGCTGCTTGCTTCAATTACTTCTTGACCCTGATGATGAGAAAACAGCATGGGGAACAGCATTACATTGATAGCTGAAGTGTAGACATGAATGGAATAGCAGATCTTCTGGTGTTTGATTACTCATTAAGTGCAGCATGAATTGATGTGCTTGAGAGTACCATCACATCATGTACAATGCTCACAAGACATCCAGTGCAAGGATTTATATGGTATTTTACCCATACACATTCTGTATCTGAAATAGTTTAAACTGAGAAACGTGGGTTAATGTACATTAAGAGCTTATTGTGGAAGTACATTTTAATATTATCATTACAGAAGCTACAATAATACAATTTAATTCACCAGTTCATTTTGGGTTTTACCCCACCCTTTAAAGGCTAGTCTAAATTTAATTTCCCTGACTGTAAATGTACAGATATACAGATGTAACACCAAATATAATTAAACTGCATTTACTTGAAGTGGCACTGCTATACAAATGGGCAGACATGGAAAAGCTACTTAGCAATGTCATGCCAGGCACAAAAGCCAATTTTACATTTTAGGTTCGTGATTGATACTGCTTCTAGAAAAATATGTTTCATGATAACAGATGCATGAGCCTACCTGCCCTTTGCTGAACACTTTCAAATATCAAAATGGAAGTCTCCCTTATGTATCTATACCAAAAATTAGTACATTTGAAATATTAAAACTGGCTGTCCATATACCTGTGGGTACTGCTTTTTGATGAAATCCCGTTTCTCCTTAGTCCCAACAGTGGTGTACACTGCACATCCTGCATGTAGGCAAATGTTGATAGCTGCCTGGCCAACACCCCCAGTGCCCGAGTGGATAAGCACTGTATCACCCTCCTTCATCTGCCCAATCATCTCCAGCGCATAGTAAGCCTGTCCATGGCAAAACAAAATAATAATTGCCAATTTCTCTGCTGTGTCAGATCAGTGATCAAGATCAGCTTTTTCTAAGGGGCCCAACTGAGTAGGTGTCTTCCTTCCTCACCTGAAAACGGAAACAGGTCTAGTTTCCGAAACGTCGTGTCTTTCCGGACGATGGAAAAAGTCCAATAACCCAGTAATTCTGTGTCATCCACCATTGTCAGAACCCTTTAGAATCTACACCCTCATGTGTAAAACATGTTTCATCTGCTCACCGAACATTATGCAAAAAGAGCTTATCTGCAGTTTGTTCATGCCATACTCACTCACAAAATTGCATTCACAGAGGATGATGATCTAGAAACAGATGCAAGCTCCACAAGTAGTGAACTGGATGCAATTTATCATCACAAAGTACTGTGATGACTCTCCTGTACACTGTATCTACAGTACACATAACAACGTGCCATGTATCGTCATGAAAAACAGCACTGCTGAGATGTATTTCACCTTATTTGATGGTGACATGTATCTTGAAAATTAAGTGTCTCTGGACACGTGTTTCACAGCATTTTCTACTTGCGTTTTAACAAAGAATCACATTATGGAGATGTGTGTGAATCTTTTTCACACTATGTATACATGTAAGTTACTAATAAGTTCATCAATTCCACTTAGAGGAGAACCAGCAATGCTCTTAAAATTGGTTTTGCAAAATTGCCCATCCATCAGTAGTAATCCTGATGACAACACTGTGAAATGATGCCTAAAACCTGGAATCATGGAGCAAAGGAAGCTCCAAAGAGACATTCATTTCTATGCAACAGCTTGGTAAACAATTTTCCATAGCAATGCATACACACTGGGTCTGAACCAAAGTTTTATAAGGAGGGCCAACATGAAAATATGGTCATGAGACTCATAGGACCCAGAACCCAGAATGGCTGTGCTGACCAGCAACAATTTACCGACCTGACCTGGGACAACATTAAGAGTCATGAGACAGAAAAATATGATCATGGGCCCTGATGGGGCCTCGAACCAATGACTATGCTGGTAAAGGCCAGTAGCAAATTACTGCTCTGCTCAGGACTGTGGTTAAAAGTCAGTTGCTAGACAGTGAGGACATGAGCCACTGAGCATGGAAGCAGTAAAAAGAATCTGCACTGTTAGAAGCTGTTACCAAGGAATGAGTTCATGAAGACATAGCAGAGTGGGATGGCTTTGAATGTGCTGTGGCTATTTGTAGTTATGGGCATCAAGCATCTAGAAAATTCAACAACCAATCCAATCATGTGACTAGATAACAAACATGTGAAAATCCTGTACACACGCCTTGACTGTATTTGATTTGGAATGTTCCACCCATTTTCTATGATGTCAAATAATTTCTTAAGCTCTGTGACACTACTATAGCCTAGTCATTTCAAGTTCTGTGACACTGCTATAGCCTAGTGATTGCAGGAAGAACATGATAAAATATGAAACAAATATGAAATTGGGCTGGTAACCTTCTTAACAACAAACAACTCTGCAGATCTAAATGTAGGCAGGAGGATATCAGAATGCATGGTATGGAATTTTAGATAACTTGAGAGGTGCTGGGAGGGCCCAGACCTGTTCTGAACATCACGGTGAAGAGAGTACATGGTTGCACAATTTGACCACTGATTCTGGATTATAAAATAAACACTATCTATCTTCTTCTCATTTTGCAACAAAACGAGTGCCAGATAAAATCTGCATTCAAAGATGCCATGCTTCAATTATGAACGAACTAATACTGGAAGGATCATGACTGCTGATGATTAAATTATATCATTATGATTTCATTTGAGAGTAACTCACTGTTGCATAGACCAAAGGCACAGTTGCTGCGTCCTCAAGTGTCCAGTGATCTGGCACATCCCACAGGAAGGTCTTGTCTACACACACCACAGTGGCCAGAGCTCCTGAATTTACTATACCCATAACTCGTTGTCCCTCCTGGTCACGTCCAGAGAATTCCACTCCTATATAGTGCTATCAACACAACAGTTCATTAGCACCAAGTTCCAGGTCCAGATATTTTATTGAAATGTGTTTGGCAGAAAATTGTTAACTTAATATAATGTAACATGTATGAGTGTGATTACAGATGGGGTTTGGAGGGGTAATTGAATTTACTGAACTCTCTAATACAGCATGTGACTACACTTTACAATACACTGTTACAGACATACACACTAGTGTCCACTGTGGAGTTCACTGTCAACCCCTCTCAATTTCAAAAATGCATTTTCTTAACCCATTCAAACCCAAGGCATCAGACATAGAGATGACATATGAAAACAGTGATTCTGTTTTGTTATCATTTCTTAACTTACATCATCTTCCACCTTTCTCTTTCTCCACCTATATCCTCTCCATGTTTACCTTCTCTCCTTCTCCCACCATTATACATTATGGGATGGAGTAAAACTGTGTCTACTTGATACTTTGGCCACTAGTAGACCTGTAGCACATGCCTTAGTGAAAGGTGAGTATGGAGCAGTTGCTTCAATGAGAATTGGCAGGGGAAACTGAAGTACTCTGAGAAATCTCACCACAGTGTCACTTTGTCCACCGCAAATATTAAATGACTTCATCTGGGATCAAACCTGGCTGCCATGGAGGGAAGATGGATAGTGACTGCCTGAACCTGCTATGGAATGTCATCTCTTACTCTTTTATCTTCTTTCTCCCTTTCTTTTCTTCACCTTTCACATTCAGCCCCTTTCTACCTCTCTCTTCTGACCAGCACAATTGGGTATTGAGGATCTCCAGGGGTTATATATCTCGAAAACCACATGACATACTATTCTATTGGAACCCTATCAGCAGTTATGACTCGGAAGAATTTAGGGATGATTTATTTTGCATATGTACATTCCATTACGTCATATGGAATAATATTTGGGGGCAATTCAACTCATAGTAATTTAATTTTCAAAATCCAAAAACGAATAGTGAGAATTATTATGAAGGCAAGAAATAAGGACTCTTGTCGTCCATTGTTCAGGCAGTTAAATATTCTGCCCTTATATTTTCAATATATATTTTCTGTATCAATTTTTGTAAACTAAATTCTGCAAGACACAGCATTAACACCACACAAGGCTTTGACTTACATATTCCAATTAATAAATTAGCTAAAGTGCAGAAGGGTGTATATTATTCAGGAATTAGGATATTCAAAAATCTACCACATAGAATCAGGAATCCATTAAATGATATTACTACATTCAAATGGGCTCTAAAAAAGTTTCTTCTTGCTGGTTCATTTTATTCTTTAAATGAATATTATGAATGGAACACAAGGAGTGATCTTGGTTCTTATAAATAGTATCTAAAATTAACCACAACAAGTCCTATTAACTAAAAATATATAAATAATCATCTACTTTAGATCTGCATACATACCTACTATGACTTTTATTTATTTTAACATACAATCTCTTGTTGTTTTATGAATTTATTTATTTATGAATGTATTTATTACCATAAAAGTTAATATACTTCTGAGAGAAGTTATTTATTCCATTTATTGTTGATGCATGTTAGATGTTTCTATAGTTTTTTTTTTTAATATGTGAGTGATGTAACATACATTATTTGATATTGTAATGTTTATCGATAATATTTATTCATATGCATTCTTTTCATAAATTTGATGAATTTTATAAGATAAATGGTTAATATGTTTTCATCTAGTTTTTAAGTCTTATTGTAGTCACATTTTATTATGTTTAGTGACTGTGTTGTTTAAGTTTTATATTACATTATTTTGACTTGTTCCAGTGATTGGCTGGAATATTTATTTTGATTTTTGACACATTCTATATCCAGTGGTGTGTGAACTTGTTTCTCGCCCTGTAATTGGATCAACTTGAATATAAGAATACATTAAATTAAATTAAATTAAGAGGCTTCTTGTTTCCCACAAAATGAAAAATTAATATTACAATGACATTTTGCCTTATAATAAAGCAACATTAAATTCACAGTGCAGTATTCTCTGTTAGTTGATGCTTATTCAGAATTATTGTGTAGTGATAACTGTGGGCTTCTACAGAATGAGGAACCAGCCAATGTTATGGCTTCTCTGTTCACCGCTATCACACACCCCCTAAAAACAGAGAATGGATATATAGAAACTGTTTCATATATGCTTGATATTTGTATTGTAATGAGAAAATACTTTATTAGAATTAAATAATCTGACTTAGATGCAATCTATAAGCAATTAAGAACTGAGGTTTGTGACCTTCTCCTGGAAAAAAAATGAAGCATTTGTTTTTGTGTGCTCTTTTACAGTCAAGAATAAAAGACTTCGGCAGCATGATCAATTGTACTGTGACATGTAGACCCACTGCCAAGTAATAGCTTTGTAAACAGGCAAGAGCATAACAGCCATTGCTAGCTAACAGCTTTGTGGACATGTTCTTTCCCAGGCAATGAGAGAAGAAGCAATAATGGAGGGGATATTTTCTGTGTGGTGTGTGCCGGGGATATATAATGAGGTTAATAGTTCAGTTGTTGGTTAAGTCAGTTGAGAGTTGCAGCTGTGAGAAGTGAGAAGCTGGTAGCTGAGGGTGGGGACAGTTCAGGAACCCAGAGGAAGGGGAATGTCTGCCAGTGGAAGCAGCTACCAAGCAACGGCTAGTGAAGACTGAGAAGACTTTATGTGTGCTGTAGTTACAGTGATCTCTGGAGTGTACAACTTATTGAGACCATCATATTTATTTGTAGTTGTGTTCTGTAAGTGTTCAGTAATTCTGGTTACCAATCCAAACCTCATCTGTAGTCACTCAATCAAGTGGTAATACATTTACATTCATGTAGGCTTACAAATAAAGGTGCAATGAAGTTTCATTTTATTAGACTTTCTGATGGTTGAACATACTAATTCGGAAATGTATGAATAGCATCCTGTTATTTAATTATCTTGAAAAATGTAAGACTTACAAAGTAATGCATACTGAACATAAAATGTCTGACGCTTCTCTGCAACTTTTGCTCAAAACATTTTTCACAAAAATGCATATTCAGATATGAACAGAAAAGCCTGTAGATTTTCATGTAAAGTAACTATTATTTTTGTTTGACTTTAGCCCAAATTGGGAAATGTCAATGAATTTGAATATTCTCCTCAGTATCAAATTTGATGAATATCCAATGAGGAATTCTAAGTTCACATATATATACAGATGAAGGTATCGAATGTTACAGGTAACCCACAAGGTTGCATGCAAGCCTAGAGGATCCAGACATAACAGTATGTAAAATGGAAGTGTACATTGCAAGAAAAATACTGGCTCAATGCTCAGAATCTCATGTTCAACATGTCATTTGTGTTGTGAATGGAGAAGACAACCTCTGGCTATGAATGTTTAGCTAAGCTTATAAGTGGCAGTCTACTATCTTCAGGAAGTGTTCAGGGTTAAGAACACTGCATAGCAATTAAAAAGCTTCATGTACTTGTTTCTTGATTTACAGTTAAACAGAATGAATGGGTGTCATACTTGTTCTCTCATCCTAAGGAAAAAAAAAACACAGTTATGGGGGGTCTGACAACAGGATGCTGAGACAAATATGGACATAAATCAGTGCAACAGCAGGCTAAAATATAATGTTACAAATATTTCTTCTTAATGGAAGGAAGTGACAAGAGGATAAAAGGAACGGTGTAAAGATAATCTCCATAATCTGTACACTTCATCAAAATTTACTGTAATGATTAAACCAAGGTGTATGATATGGATGAGGAACACAGCACACAAGATCAGAGGAGAATAATATATATATCATTTCAGTCAGATACCTTTTTAGAAAACGTTATTTGCTAAACCTAGGCATAGATAGATGGGAGGATAATATTCAAATGCATGGCTTTTATGGTGGAGATGGATTGAACTGGCTAAAAATTGAATCCAATGACATGGACTTGGAAACACTATAATGAACTTTCAGGTTTCATAAAAAGAGTTGATTTCCTTGACCAGGTGAGAGACTACTAGTATCTCAAGAAATTAGTCTAATCAACAACTGGGACTTGCGTCTGCTCTCTGGAATAATTTATGTTCATGTGGATGAAAAATGACACATGCACAAAAGAGGCCACAATACATCCCTGAAAAAATATTCAAGGACATTCAGGACACATCCCTCTGTATTGTACAATAAGTTGGGTAACAATTATTACCTGGAATTAGGGGATTTCAAATCCCCTGTGACTATGGGGATAGCAGCTTGATTCTTAACTTGGTTTTAATTGTATTATCAAACTGAAACATGCAATGCTGTACAGGTCAATCAACATCATGTGCTTTTACAAGAAAGCAACACACAGGATATAAATGTTACTTAGTTTTCAGTTATGTATGTAAAATCTGAGGTCCTACAGTTGTGGTTATGAAGAATTCTATCTTTTGGGATATAATGCCTTGCAGTCTGCTGAAAGTCAACTGATGTTTCAGAGGAACACACTGACTTCATCTTCACAGTTCAAGAGAAGACAAAGAAAGAAACTAGCACATGGCAGGCAGCAAGCAAAGCAGGTGACTTGTGAATATGTGGGATTGTATAGAAGCAGAAGGGACCTAAGAAGCAAATCTGTAGTTTCCCACTGCATCCATCAGAAAACCGGGGTGAACCAAGAGGAGTAAGAAAAAGTGTGTGTGGGAGCCACTCACATTTAATCAAGTGCTAGCAAATCAGCATGGAACACAGTAGCTCCAATGAACATTGGTTTGCACACTGCCTAGTGACAACCTACCTCTGACACACCAGTCATCACCCATAGTTTAGCAACCATCCACTGCTTAGCAGTGACTTGATAAACATTTCCATGGAGATAGAGTCTTGGAAACAAAACATCATTCAGTGATAAACAAACATTTCCTTGGATATGAGAATGAAATATGTTTCCTCTGGTGGGCCATCTGAACTTTATATAACAGGAAATCCAGATCAAACCAGTAGTCAGAATGAAGCTTGTCAGTGTATACATTCTAGCAACAATAAATATTTGTTATAGAAATTTACCACGTGGTTGTCTCCTCAAGCACTGACAATCCAACAGTGGTGATCCAGATGAAGAATGCAGACTGTGGACAGCTCTGTACCAGAAGAGGTACCCACAGTGGCCATGCGGCTTCCACCACTCTGGGCTGAGCAGCCAGCTGTGTGGTTCACCCAAGCCAAGGCACAGTTTACATTGGCTGACATCAGCAGTGAGCAGACCAATGTGACCTTGCAGCTGGACAATCGGTATGCTGCAGAAACAGAGGTCATCATCACCTCTCCGCTGGAACGAGACCCCTATACCACGCTGAGGACTGAGCTGGTGAAGCAGCTGTCCCCCTTCAAAGAGCAACACATCTACCAGCTACTTACACTAGAGGAGATGGGTGACTGCAAGTTACTCCAGTTTCTAAGGCACCTCAGAAGCCTCACACCAGACATGCCTGATGAGTTCCTCCACTGCATCTGGTTCAGTAGGCTACCCCCCCATGTACAGACCATTTTGCTGGCCAGCCTGAGGGCGATTTTGATGCTGCACTCCCTGTGCAGACTGCATCTTTGAGGCTGCACTCGTGAACATTGCACCACTCCCTGACAGCGATCAGTGCCAAATATGCCCACCTTTGCTCCAGCTCCAGGAACAGCCATCTGGGCAGTAGATCCACCTCCTGAGATGACACTGCATCCAATCTCTCCTGGTACTATTGCTGCTATGGAGCCTGGGCGCAAAAGTGTACTCAGCCTTGCCCCCCCCCCGCAGGGAAACTAACACAGCGGACATCAACGATGACACATGTCGGTGCAACAACCACAGGCTGCCTCTTCATCAAGGATAGGATTAGTAAACAGCAATTCCTGGTAGATGCGGGTTCAGACCTCTACGTGTACCCCTGCAGGCTCATTCCGCAACGCAAAGAACGCATCTACTATGACTTTTATATGGCTAACAGCACTATCATCCCCACTTACAGATGGCTGTCCCTCAGCCTCAACCTGAGACTATGCTGGGATTTTACACGATGATTCGTGGTGGCCGAAGTCATACATCTCATTGGTGTCGACTTTCTCTCCCATTTCAGCATTCTGGGGGACTGCCAAAACAACCACCTACTGGATGATGGCACATTGTTGGCTGTACTGGCCCAAGCAGAGAGCTCATTGATCCAAGCGTCAGGACAATCAGTGACCCCATGCTGGTTGACACCACTGTCGCTGAATTCCCGGACCTCACTTGTCCCACGAGAGTCCAACGCAAAGTACGCCACAGTAACGTCCATCATATCTGGACTACATCAGGGGCACCAGTCACCTGCCTACCATGATGACTGTCATCAGACTGGCTCGATATCGCCAAAGCCAAGTTCATTGTCCCTTTTGAGAGTTCATGGTCTTCCACTCCACTCACTGGGCTCAAAAGAACAACGGTTGGCGTTCCTGCAGCGACTATAGAGCACCAATGCCCAGACCATGTCCGACCGCTATGCCATTCATAATATCCATGATTAGTCCTAGCAGTTTTTTGGTTGTTCAGTTTTCTCCAATATCATTCTGGTGAGAGCATACAAACAAATCCTGACCATCCTGATTATATACAGAAGATGGCCATTACCACTCCATTTGGCTTATTAGAATTCCCCTTCATGTCCTTCAGGCTGTGCAATGCCGCCCATATGTTCCAAAGCTTCATGGACAACGTTCTGTGGGAATTCAACTTCTGCTTCACCTAACTGAATGATATCCTTCTTTCCTCTCTCTCTCTCGACAAGCAGAAGCAACATCTATGGCTCTCTTCAGTCAACTTCAGAGGTAAGGGATCCTCATCAATTCGTCAAAATGTGTATTCTGAGAGTCAAGCCGGCCTAGATGCTGAATGAGACTGACTGTGAGACCACTACCACTTTCAACCCCCATTGCACCTACTACACACTGCAAATGCCACATATGTTTTCCTGATTGCTTCAACATCTAAACATCCCTGCGGGGGGTGACTTGGGAGCCATCCACATTGAATCAAGCGCTGGCTGATCAGCGCGGACCATGGTAGGTCCAATGTCTCTTGCTTTACATGCCGCCTAGTGACAACGTACCTCTGACACAGTAGTCATCGATCATAGTCTAGGAACCAACTGCTGCTAAGCAACGGATCAGTAAACATGTTTCCATGGTGATTGATTCTTGCAAACAACCCACTTCTAGGTTATGAACAAACGTTTCTTTGGATACATGATTGAAAGACATTTTCTCTGGAAGTACAAACTGACATTACATAACAGGTACCCCAGACCAAGCCAGAAGTCAGAATGATGCTTGTCCTTGCATGCTTTCTAGCAACAATAAATATTTCTCATAGAAGTTTAGTACATCATTCTGTCTTGAAGCCTCGACATTTCCACGAATGGCTAGGTTATCCCATGCAGATGGCTATTGATATGTACGTAAGCACAGAGGAGAAGTCATAAGTGTGTGGTAACCCAAAACCAGAGGGGTTGGACAGACATTGTGTGCATGGGTGGTAGGCATGCGATTTAGTTATTAGAGACAGAATAAGCAACTTGACTGATGTCCAAGGGTGTTAGATTACAGTTCTAGTAGTGTCTGTGATTGTCACCTTCATGCAGCATGTCTATGCTCACCAGATTCAGATGTCTATCAAGTTCCAATGGTAGCCTAGCTGTGGCTGTCATCACATCTTTAAAATTGAGTGAAGAATAATAGATGTGTGACAGTACTTCACCTGATTCCAACTGAAGGCTGTAACACATAAAGTCTAATATAAATCTCAACCCCTAAACTAAAGTGACACATGTTCATGACAGGCTACTGCCTGTCAAAAAAAAAATAATTTAAATGAATGAGATTTCTTCAGGATATAATAAAACTGAATCTCCATTCGACGTTGCTCAAGTAACACAGTGGTTTAAAAATAAGACTTCTTGTGTCAAAGATCTCATCTCCTTCTTCAAGCATTATTTCTGTTTTCAATGGATGAAAGAGTTATTTTTTCATATTCTAGAACTTTCAATTCTGAATATTTATATCCTCCAAACCTTTCCTGGTTCAAAATTATCATATAAATATATTGCAGACTTACTCTGGCCAGGGACCTAATGTAAGAAGAGGAAGGGTAACTCAACCACAGATAGGCCCATGGGAAAACAAAACCCCTTCTACCAGCCAACTGACCAAACTTCATACATGACACCATAAACACTGGCCCTTGGAAGGAGGAATTTGGTGTCGTGTGAAATAATGAAAAAATTTGAGCATTCACAATGCAATGTGTAGATGTGTTAGTCTCTATTTCAAGCTCTCCCATACAAAACCGAATTTTTTAACAGTCTCCAACATCATATTGGAATAAGTGAAATACACAAACAAAAATAATAATGCCAATGTCATTGTATTATACATCACGTGTAGGGTGGTATATCATGACAAGCAATTCATTCCTAGATATTTTGGAAAATTATGCTCTTCCATAGCTCACCAATAAAAGGAAACAATAAAAACAACAGTGGCAGTCACAGCAGTGGCGATGATGACCTTATTCTTCAAACTGGATGGTAAATTTGTTTTGTCTACACTGTCTATGGCTCTTTGAACATGAATCTCCCAGGTAGAAGGACAGAAGAGGAAGATCAACTGTGTGGCCACCTCGTTCTCCTGATCTTAATGCCTTTTAATTGTCTCCTTCAAGGATATGTGAAAGAGCAGGTGTACAGCCAAAGAGTGATTATGCTGACTGAACTCAAAGCATGAATCACTGAAGCAATTGCAGATGTTACAAGGGACATGTCACAGATCATGTGGCAAGATGTGGACTATATGTGGAATGCAAGCACAGCTACAGGTGGTGCTCACTGTAGCAAAGTGTTTTGCATCTAACAACTTTTTCATGTGTGTCTGACAAAACTGTTTCAATTGGAGAAGGAAATATTGCAAACAATACACTCATATCTGCTTCCATTTCTCAGCTACAGGTGAGTGAAATCCAGTCTCCATTTTAATGTTGAAAATGTTACTATACAAGGGTACAAATGGATGAAGCTGACATTTCAGCATAACATTTCACAGAAATTACCACGGCAACTTATCTGCTTAGTGAATTGTTATAGCAGAAAGTAAATTCAAGTAACTTTGGAAATGCTACTAGTATTACAGCATGTTTCCATTACAATGGCTAGAGAAGGGTTTTTCCCACAGCAACCAGGAAAAATGTAAACAACTTTCCATGACAATGATTTATTGCAATTGTTGAAAAATGAATTCCCATAGATACCAGAGAACAGAACCCATGGAGCAGTACCTGCTATACGGTCAGACTGACAGATAAAACCAGAAGCAGAACTCAAGCAGAATTGAAGCAGTCAGTTCAAGCCAGTCCTACTTCAGGAGCCTACAGACCAAGGTAGGGTGCAAATGGATGAAGCTGTGACACTCAGCATAACATTTGTGCAACCTTTTACATAACCACTGATAACTCAAGTCCTATGGTGTATATTACAACTGTATTAAAAGTTGCATGTAAATGGAACAATAAAGGCTAATTTATCCATCTGTACATTGTTTAAACAATTACACAAAATCTATCTGGACATAATACAAGTGAAATCCATTAATAAATGCAAGCTTCTCAAAAATGCAATCCATTTCGGTCCATTTCTAGTACAGTACGTTCAACCATCGAGGAAGCCAGGGAAGCGGCATGGGTCGGATACATTTCTCACAGATTGCTGCTGTAACTGCCAATAGCGGAATGAGTCATCAGCACTAATAAATGTGCGCAGTCTCACTAGCATACAGTGGATGGATCGTTTCTCTGTGGCTAGTGTGCCCTTTGCCATTAGCGAGAGTGCAGTCATGTTGCTGATTCCCTCACTCAGTTTCTGTATATGCACACATTTACATGAATACTGAAAAAAAGATAACAAACTTACTGTATGCAAGTTTCAAGGTTTTCACGGTGATGACTATGAAGAAAGTCATCTTCTGGGATCTGGTGCCATGTATTCTTGGTTTTCACCGATGTTTTGGAGNAAGACAAAACCTTGTTTCCTTGTTCATGTTGTTCGGATGGAGCACGATCTCAATGGCCTCCATAATGCGATCCAGGTATCGGCTCTTACAGTTGAGTATGGCGGTTTTGTGAAACTGGATACGGTGGTCTAGTTTGATGCTGTGTTCAGCTACGGCTGACTTGTCCAGATGTTCTAGGTGTAAATGCCGTTGATGTTCTTTCAACCTGGTGTCCATAGAATGGCCCGTTTGCCCAATGTAGACTTTGCCGCACTCGCAGGGGATTCTGTAAATGCCCGGTGTCCTCAGTCCCAGGTGATCCTTGACAGGCCGAAGGAAATTAGATATTTTCTTAAGAGGCAGGCCAACTGATTTGACGTTGTGTCGGGACAGCACTCTGCTGATCCTGTTGAATATAGTCCCGACAAAGGGCAAGAAGGTGACAGGGTCTCTGTGGTCATCTTGTTGATTGTAGTTGGGATGACAGTTGAGGGCCCTGTGGATCTGCCGGTCATTATAGCCATTCCGTCTGAAGATGTCCTTCAGGAACTCCAACTCCGCACGCAGGCTGTCTTGATCGCACAGAGCTCTGGCCCTGTGTACCAGTGTGGAAAGAGCTGCCTGTTTATTGGAAGGGTGATGATGGGACCTGGCATTGAGATAGAGGTTGGTCTGTGTGGGTTTGCGGTATACTCTATGGCCTAGAGAGCCGTCGGGTCTCCTGTAAATATCTATGTCGAGGAAGGGAAGGTGGCCTTCACTTTCGGTTTCCATGGTGAACTGAATGCATTGGTGGATACTGTTTAAGTGGTTCAGGAAATCCCTCAGCTTGTCACCGTATCCAGTTTCACAAAACCATCATACTCAACTGTAAGAGCCGCTACCTGGATCGCATCATCATGGAGGCCATTGAGATCGAGCTCCATCTGAACAACATGAACAAGGAAACAGTCTCAATAAGTCATGGAAACCTCTCATCTCTTCCCTCAAGAGAACTCCACAAAGCCACCCCAGTTCGTCATGTCACTGATGTCAGTAGCCTGTCCCCAGCCAACCAGTTCCTCCTGTTTACCAGCTACCTCCGTGCCATTGACCTCCAAGTTGCCTGGATTCACTGGCTGGTTCCCCCCCTTCCCCCCAGACCATATATGGCCTTAAATTGCTATTCACTGTTCCCATTGGTCCCCTCTTCCCCCCCTCCTGCTTCCTATATAAAGCAGCGCTTTTCACCTCTGAATCATTGCAGCTACTGCTCTCTGTATTTGCAATGCAATTCACCTGCCCTGAAGATGGAGGCGATACGTTCCTCCGAAACGTCAGTGAAAACCAAGAATACATGGCGCCTTTCTTCAAACTTACTGTACTTTATAACAGATGTTGGAAGTGACCCCCTTCTGCTTCCAAACAAATATGTCAAACATAAATAAATTATGCGACACTTTATGAAGTTGGTCAATGGCTATTGAACTAATTATGCGTGTTATTTCATTCTGCAAAGCTTCAGTGGTGCGAGGGTTATTCTTGTAGACTTTTCCCTTTAGGTCTCCCCAAAGATAAAAATCGCAGAAATTGAGATCTGGGAGGCCACAGTCCCCTGCTGATTGCTCTGCCTTCAAACAACTTCCTGTACTGCGACCATGGATGCATTAGCTGTATGTGCTGTAGCATTGTCTTGCTGAAAATACCCATGTTGTCTTTCTTCAGCAGTCAGCTGAATGAAGAATGGATTCATTATATCATTAACGTAGCGGTCAGGGTTCACAGTTTTGTGGAAAAATAAGGGGCCAATGATTCAGTGTGGACTTACAGCACACCATACCCCCACCTTTTCACTATGTAATGGCACTTGCTGTATAGCGTGAGATTTTACACACATAATTAGTTCAATTGCTGTGGACCAAATTCAGGAAGTGTTGCATAATTTATTTATGCAATGCGAGGCATGTTTGCAAGCAGAAGGGGGTCATTTCCAACACCTGTTATAAAGCACGGTAAGTTTGTTATCTTTTTACAGTATTCCTATAAATGTGTGAATGTACAGAAACTGATACGATGGAATCAGGGACACGACTGCACTCTCGATAGCAGGGAAGGGCACAGTAGTCGCGGATTTCTCGATGATTGAATGCCTTGTACCTTTTCAATATCTCATGGATTCTGTATTCGTTTTCTGTCTTCTGACTTCTAACTTCTATTTATATTTATCAGGTGGCCGTGATAGTAGACAATCCCACATGGGGTTCCATTCTGCTTTTCTGGGATTGCCTCACTTCGGGAACCACTGTAATTACCACGTTAACCGTATATGCTTAGTGAACTGTTGTCACAGAAAAGCATGTTCGGTGTTATGTGTTGGAGTTGGAAAGTGTTTAGCCAACCATTACTTAGTAATGGGTGACTTCACTGTGGGAACAATATATCTGCAGGCAGCCGTGATAGTAGAGACTCCCTATAGGATTCCATTCAGCTCTTTTGAGACTGACTTGCATTTTTAGCCATTGCAATTACCATGGTAACAATATCTACTTAGTGAACTGTTATCATAGAAATGTGTTTGAGATGGAACACATTTAGCCAACCGTTAATTAGTAATGGGTGACTTCACTGTGGGAACAATGTTTACCCATCTGTTGGCTGGTAATGGACGTTTGCATCGACTTCACTTCACTATTCCGGTTTTGTTGGACAAAATGTGGCCAATTTGTCCTGCATTAACTATGTTTCATACTTCAGCTATCACAGATCTATCTTGAGCACAGCCAGAGACCAAGATTCGCAACTCACTGATGCAACTACAAACTAAACACTTTGGGGAATTTCAATAAATAATACGAGGGGGTACCCAAAAGAAACCGAACTTATTTTTTTTAAACTTATTTATTCAAATTTTAAGCACAAACCTTCAATCCCCTTCAAAGTATTCTCCACTTACACTAATACACTTGTCTAGTCTTTTATTCCATTTTTCAAAACATTGTCTAAATTCATCTTTTGAGATGCTTGACAGTGCCTCCATCGTTTTTTCCTTTCATGTCTCTTTTCATCCAAGGAAAACAAAAAAAGTCGCATGGGGCAAGGTCAGGAGAGTATGGAGGGTGAGGAACAGGGGTCATACCATTTTTGGTCAAGAATTGTCATACAGACAGGGCTGTGTGAGCAGGGGTATTGTCATGATGGAAAAACCAGACACCCAACTGCCACAAATCTGGCCGCTGAGCTCCAAGTCACTCCCAACAGCTCCACAATTTCTTCAATGGTCCATCGTCAATCTTCCTTGATGATTTCACGAATTTTTTCAACATTTTCATGTGTTTGGGCCGTGGAAGGACGACCAGAACGAGGTTTGTCATCAATTGACATTTCACCATTTTTTAAACGGGAAAACCACTCAAACACTTGAGTTTTCCCCCATAGCATCGTCCTTGTACGCCGTCTTTAACATTTCAAGAGTTTCTGTTCCACTTTTCCCGAGCAAAAAGCAGAATTTCACCGCCGCACACTGTTCACGAAAATCAGCCATTGCAAAAACGATGATCACACAAAACAGTTGTCACTATAAACTCTGCCGAAACTAGTCCTTACCTTCTGAAGCAATGGTAGTCGGCTTATCGACTCAGGAATGTTAGCTCTATGCGCTCATAGTGGCAAAACGCGGTACTACAAAAGCTCTGCCCCCCAAAAATTAGTTCGGTTTCTTTTCGGTATCCTATCGTATACTGTACATATAGTAATGTTTCAATAAAGTTTCAATTTTAATGTACAAAGTACATTTATTCAAATAAAAATCCCAATTTAATACCGTTTTCAACGTTAATCCTAGGAACCAAGGTTCCCCAATCACTTTTTTTGTAAGTCTTGTATTATTGTAAAAAGGTACTTCAGAAGAGGCACAGTACTTGATGAAACAGCTCGCTCATACCTCTGAGGGTCTAGATTTCCTTCAATCCACCTGAAGCTAGATAAATCGCCTCGGGTCATGATGTTAATGTGGGCATGCCAAACAGCAATGCTGGTACAGGTGCCTAGTGGGAGGTATCGGTATGACCCCCACTTTCCATCATTGTATACATTCATGACAAGATCTTTCTTCAGCTGTTGCTGATACAATGGTAAGTTCACATCAAATGGGGGTGCAGATGTATCCAGAATATAAAAACACCTGAAACAGACATACAAAAACTTTCAGAGTTCTTATGCTCAATGTCATGCCTTCAGAAGGCCAGGAAATTGGTTGTCATTTTTGGGTACGTGAACACATTGGCCAGCCTGCAGGCAATGCAGCAGCCAGGTAAAATACCATGATTGGGGATGTGACATCAGAATGAGCCATGAGCAGTGATATCCATGAATAACTCTTCATAATGCATTCTTGTTATGGAGAGATGACTGCACTGAAACACAGAATACTAAGTTGTGGTTGGGGGACACCATTCGCTCAGGTGTGGCAGTCCTTCAATTTCACTGGGAAGCTGGAAGTCATGCTTATACAATTCAGATTGGTCAAACTGACACATGGACATGTGCTGCAGGGGGAAGTGGAACCTGTTTGTATGCAGTGCAGTGTGTGCACATCATGTGGGAATGACCGTGTTGTGACAAAGAAGGCCAAATCTTCCATCTTCATGATGCATTATGCAACAATGCAAAGCAAGTTCACTGTAATATGTTGAACATATAATTCTTTCGTGGTAGAGTGGTTGATAAATTTATTTAACTGACTTGCGTATCTACCTATCTACCTTTGCTCCTGTTGCTCCCAATTGGAGCACAAGGTATCAGTGAAATGCTTCATTTCACTTCAGTTTCTTAAACTTAGACAGTTGGTAGGACACACTGGGCAAGGGATCAGCCTGACAGGAGGTCGCTACCTACACAGGACAACAGAAACACAAAATAAGTGCAGACAAACATACTCGTAAATGCCTTCAGTGGGATTTGAACTCACAATCCCAGTGTTCGAGTGAGCGCAGTCACTGTGATAAGCTACTGACTTGCCTGCTTATCACATTTTATCTGTAATATTATTCTATATGATCTAATTAACCCATGTACAGTCTGTACAACTGTGAAATTTTAACTGAACATCTATCGTTGTTTCATTCTATAATTCTGTGCACCAACAGTCACAGCCTTCTAAAGTCTGGCAAATGGATAACTGTATGTAGATTCATTTAATTTTGTAACATGTTTAATAATATGTCTCATTTTTAGTTATACCCAGGCACAAACAGACATAGATGGTGATGCACCTATAACTACACTTTCTCTCTTTCTCTCTCAGTCACACAGTCAGTCTCACTCACTGAAATGTACCTACTGATTCATTTATTCTATATATTATTGAATTGAATTTAATTGAATTTATTTACATTCTATAAATCCTAAGCAGGTTAGTACCTTTGGATACAGAACAAGTCAAAAGGTTACATACATAAGTACAGCCAATTTTAGCTTAAAAATTAATATAACTTAATTTTACATCATTCTCTATTTACATTGAAGTATTCATCTAAAGAGTAGAAGGAATGAGCATGTAGATAATTCTTTAACTCTGATTTAAACTTTTTAGTATCATTGCCCAAGTTTTTAATACTTTGTGGCAGATTGTTGAACACTTTTATGCCAGTAAAGTAGACTCCTTTTTGATATACTGATAAAGTTGTTGATGAGGGTAGGTGGAAGTTATATTTTTGTCTAGTATTCATGTTATAGACATCAGAATTTAATTTGAATTTACCTTTGTTGTAAAGCACACAAATAAGAGAAGCGATAATATGTATTGCAATTGAAATCTCTACTTCTACATCCTGTAATGATTCTAATTATATTCTTTTGTATTTTAAAAATTATTACACTATGTGAAGAGTT